TTGAGTGAATCAAAAGGGGAATTTGCCTGGGTAGGCCCTGCCTAATTAGGTGAGTGCCTCCTGAAGTGGGAGACTGGAAGTGCGAGGGGGGTCTATGAGGGTCTAAGAAGGTGACCATGCAGCTAGGACAGGACCTGAGAGCCACCTCTAGGGGCAGAGAGTCATGCCATCCCTAGCTGGCAGCCAGCAGGACCTGGAAGTGGGTCCTTTCCCAGTCGAGCCTCAGATGAGAACTCAGCCCTGGCCAAGCCCACTGGGACGCTGAGCAGAGGCCGGCCATGCCGTGTCCACGCTTCTGACCTGCAGAACCGGGAGCTAGTGGACAGGTATGGTTTAAGCTGCTATGTTTGTGATGCCTTGTTATGTGGCAATAGCTAGTGAAGATGCTTTGTGTGTGATGGCAGAGCAGAGCACCTGGGGTTTTACAGTCACTTTCATGTTTAAGGGATGCTCCTAATGCTCAGGAAACTCCAAGCATTTTGGGGGCTGTAAGCCAGGAACCGTGGATGAAGACCAAAATATATATTTATTATTAATCACACTATCCTACCTCCCAAAGGCCCCACCTCCAATGACCATCACACTGGGGGTTAGGTTTTAACATCTGAATTTAGAGACACCAGTGGCAGTTGGGGACAACTGGTGATTCAGTCTATGGCAATGAGACAAGCCCCTCACATACCAGTTCCCTGTGGGCCGTGCATTTGGTGCACCTATTCAGGCCTCCACTGGGCTGATGGTGGCTCAGGAGCCTTCAGTCCTTCAAGTCCCCCCGCTCCGGCCCCCTGCCCCTGAGCACGGCCCACCTGGGCCCTCTCCAGGCACACAGGTGTTTGCTGACTAAAAGCACAAAGTGGGAGGGAAGGGAAATAAGCCAAGGCCAACATCCTTGGTGCCCACCCGCTCAGATCGAATCAGGGTGGCTTGTTGCGAGGCTGGGAATGGTCTTGGGAGGATGTGGGGACCCCTTCTGCTCACCCTAAATGAGCCCCTCTCTGGCCTCATCATGGCTCCCCCGCCTGTACCACCTGCTTGTCATATGTGACTGTCATCCCTATGTCTTTTGAGTCCAATGACTCTCTGATGACTGCATTCATATATCATCCCCTGCCCCAAGGCTGACTGTTCAAGTAGTTGCCTGGCAACGAGAGCACATGCCTGCAGAAGCTGCGGGTCTACGTGCCTTTGTTGCCAGTGGGCTCTTCCAGTTCTAGTTACCCCACCAGCAGACTCTCCTTTTCAGTGATCTTGGACATGAACTTCTCTGAGCCTCAATTTTCAAAGCAGTAAAAGCAGGTAGCACTAACCAGCCTGTGAGAGGACTAGCTGAGAGAGCTTAGCCTGCAGGGTCCAAAAGAGTGGGTCCTACTAACCGTGGCCTGGGTGAGAACCACAGTAATAACAGAAAGCAGGGAATAAAGCGAGTGGTCTTGAGTCACCCTAGGAGGCAAGAATCTCATGGAGCAGGGTTCCCCCGTTGGCACTTCTGACATTGGGGCCAGGTTGTTCCCTGGGGTGAGGCCATTCTGGACACTGTGGGGGTGCTGTACCACAGCCCTGGCCCTACCTACTCGATGCCAGGTCACCCCCCGAATTGTGATAATCGCAGATATCTCAGACACGGCCCAGTGTCTCCTGGGTGAGACCCTGCTATAGGGGGTCAAGCTCATGTCTGGGCAGGGCCGCTGGGAAAGCATCCTACGGCTTGGTTTCTGGAATCAGAGGCCAAAGGCTGCAGGGAGAGGGTTTGGGGCCCTGTGGGCTGCACCAGGAGTCCCGGGATTACATATACACTGTCCACGTTTTCTGCGGGGAAGGTGGCGGCAGCAGCCCATAACCTTCCAGGAGCACAACATTATAGGTTTTGACTATATCTTGGCAGTCCTTTTAGAAGAACAATGTGTCCAAGGAAAGAACTGATAATAATGTGCGTTTCGGCACACCCAGGAGAGAGCGAAAGCGGTCACCAACCAGCGGAAAGGGGAGCACTCTGATTTGCAAGGCTGAGCTGGAGTTTGCTCCCCATAAAAGGGCTACTCTCCTAAGATAAAAGCTCTGGCAATGCTTTCAGGAGAAATGTTCAGAAACTCCCAGAGAACAGGAGCTCTGCTGTTGGGAAGGCAAGAAGTCATTTTGCGCTCTACGTGGTGAGCAAGATAGCTGCAGGAGTGCTTGCCTGCGTCCAGGGCGCCCCCTCGGCACTGCTGACGCTGCGGCTGGGTCAGCTCTGTAGGGGCCCATCCTGGGTCCTGCAGGGCACAGAGCAGCATGCCTGGCCCCACTCACTCAGTGCCAGAAGCACCCCCCCACCCCCATACTGACAACCACAGATGTTTCCAGACATCACCTAGCATCCCCCTGGGGGCAGGGTCGCTCTTAACTAGGAACCAGTGATTTAAACCAATGTATGCATTTCCTCTTTAACCCCATTTCAGGTGCTCAGTAGCCGCTGTGGTGCATGGCTACCATTTTGGAAATCGCAGCTCTGGACACTGCTCAGCTCAAACACGATGTGACCTCCCAAGCCGAATGGCCTGTGCACTCAGTACGCGGGGGGTCCTTGAGGAAGCCCTGGCACCACACAGCTGCCACGCTGCAGGGGCTCTCGCTCGCTGTTCCATGAGGCAGGAATCGGCTGGCTGTGCCCTCTGCCTCCCCTCCCCTCCCCCGAACTTCCAAGACAACGGCAAGTTCCACCCAGTGGAAATTTAACCACATCCAAAGACAGAGTCGGAGAGGGGCCAGTAAGACAGGGGTCTCACTGTGTGATCCTGCCCCCAGGGGATACTGGGCCATGTCTAAGGATCCCCAGCAGTGGGTCCACAGTTCTTGCTAGAACGTCAGCTCTGGGAGAGCCGGGGCTTTGGTTGTCCTGGTCACTGCCGTTTCCCCAGAACCTGGCCCCGGCAGACGTTTGGAAATCCTCGCTGAGGGAATGAATAAAAATCTCGAGGAGGGTCACCATGCACCCAGCCAGGCCAACCAGTAACTACCCAGGTAACTGTAGTCAAAGGTGTGACGCGCACCCAAGGGTGCTGCTGGGGGACACCAAGCAGATTCCACACTCAGGAGGCCCGAGAGGGCTTCTGAGAATTGGTGGCATTTAAGTGAGTCTGAAAGGAGGGGCTGCATGGGACTGGTCTGCAGAGGCCCCATGTGGCCTGAGCTTCATTCCTAGGGGGTGGGAAAGCAGCAGCCAGGCTGCCACCCCTGACCCTGCCTCTTTCGCTCCCCTGGTGCAGCCTCTGCCCCAACCACTGGGCCATGCCCAGGTACAGGGTGGGTGTGGGGGCTGCAGACGCTCCAAGCCCCATGGGCGCTGAACCCATGTTTTCTGCCTCTCTCCTACACCCAACAGATGGGAGGCTGTGTGTCTGTGAGGCAGGGGGCCTTGGGGACAGAGTGACTATGGGACTCTCGGTGCTGAATCAGAATGTCTCAGAGAACAGGGATGGGTGGTTACAGGGATCCAAGAGGGGCAAGAGGTTCACTGACGATGTCTCGGTACCCACCTACATCCACCCGAATGTCTACCCCAACCTGGCTCGAGGCAGTCTGAGCCCATGGGCCTTCTCTGCCCCCTAGTGGCTGCCAGAGGGAACCGCAGTCCTCTGGCAAATGTTACCCAGCCTCAAGACACCCCAGAGCAAACCTCACCACCCACTGCCATCTGCAGAAATTCAGAGGAGTAGATCAGAGCACTGGTTCTGCCTTCAGGATGGGTAGCAGTGACCCTCACTCAATGACACACCAGCTCTCCAGAGAGGTGGCCGTTCAGTAGCAGGAGACCCTGGTCGGGGTCTTGCACGTCTTGGACCCTTAATCTGGTCCTCTACCTGACCCGACGAAGACCCTTCATCTGGACCCTCTGACCCTGGTGCTGTGGGGAACTGAATGTGAGGACACCTGTGGACGGCTAACAGCTCTTAACAAACACGATGTGCTCAAGAAGTGACTATTAAATTTTTTAAATAATAATGCCTGGCATTGCCCACTTCAAGGAGCTCCCTTTGTAACCCCTGCAAGACCCGCCTGTGCTAGGCCAGCTCTTTGAATAATTCTGTCTCCCTCTAACAGGGTTCCCCGTGGACTGCCATCGGGCGGTCACTCTCCGTGGGGCTGCCGTGTACACTCTGCGGGGCTGAGCAGCATCCCCAGCTCCCACCAGATGCCGGGAGCACCCCAGTCGTGACAAACAAAGATATCCCCAGATGTGGCCTAGTGTCCCCTGGGTGAGAATCCACCTCCAGTTGTATGTAAAGGGATCAAAGCCAAAGAAAATGCGTTTGGAATTTCCAGCTATTCTGACCTCTGGTTGACACATTAGAGTGAAACCCTAGCACCAAACTGAGCTCAGACTCTGCTGCTGGAACGTTTTGTCTCCAGATGATGACCCTAAATCTTCTTCCCTAGAAAAATTCCTGGGAGCACATATGAAAATGTAATTAGCAGCCTTTTCCCCTCTGTGGCGATGACACAGATTTGGGTCTGTAATAAAGATGAATGAGTCCCTTCAGACCTGACAGCCAGACTAGGCAGCGTTCCCCCTTCAGCGCTGCCACTGGTCATTCTCGGTGGGGACTCTCCAGGGCACTGTGGGGTGTGGAGCAGCACCCCGGCCCCCACCCACTCAATACCAGGAGCACCCCCAATTGTGACAACCACAGATGTCCCCTGACATTGCCACGTCCCTGGAGGCCGGATCACCCCAGTGAGGCCCACTAGCACAGCTCGAGGATTTAAGTGCAAAATATGCAACCAGAACCCAATGCAGGTGAATTGTTTTTAGAACCTTGAAATTGAAGAATGCCTCTCAAACACAAAGAAGAACACTTGTGTCCCTACAGCAGACCCACCGCCAGCCAAGTGGGAAGACACACTCAGGAAAACAGGTATGAATGTGACAGACACCAGACAGTGTCCAGCAGATATGTGCAAAGAGCTCACGCAAATCCACGAGAGAGAGAAACGCCCAACACAAACACAGCCAGGCCACTCACCGGAAGCTCCTGAGAGCAAACGCTGCATTCACAGATAACGCAGGAGACTCAGACACAGCAGCCACGCAAGTGTTCCGGCTGGTCAGATTGGTAAAGACGCAACAACTGAAGTTAGGATACTAGGAAAAGGGGCCCTGGGAATGAAAAATAGTGCATTTCTGGGGGTCTTTGTGGCTGAAAAGTCAAAAATGTAAATGAAAACATCCTGATTTAAACACACACAGACAGACACATACACAGACTCACACACACCCTGCAAACCTACTTACAGGAACTTATCCTAAATAACCAACCGAGGTTGTACAAAGTATGCACAAGGACATTCATCCCAGAGCACAGTGAAAAGAAAACACAAAAGGAAAAGAAAATAAACACCCACAGAAGCCCATCAAGCAGACACTAGTCAAATCAATTATAACATTATTATAAAAATATAAATTATAATGTCTATAAGGTGGAATGTTAAGCCAACATCAGGAAAGATGGAAATCTAGCTTTACTGATGAGGAACAATGCCCATCAAGTGAAATGAGCTCATTAAAGAAAAAAATATACTTATATAAAATCATTATGTGAATGTAATTAACGAAGATTCAAAGAGGACACTCACATGTCAGCAATGCTCATCGCTGGTGGGGGTGGGGGTGGCACCGCCCTCTCTGCGCTCACCTGCACTTCCACTTTCTTTTTACAGGAAGTCAGTGGGATGCTGACACTGAACAGAACAGATGAGTGGGGCTTGCCCATCCACGCGCTGCGCAGACCACACACCGGCCACAACCTCTCCCCAGGGCCTGCAGCTCACCAGACTCCCCTCCAGCTGACGACTGCATGACACAGGAGTTGCTTTTTAAACCTGCTCTGGACCTAGGCTGAGCACGAACCAGTCAGTGGACACCAGGGCTCCAACTTCAGCTTTTTGGTCTCTGGCCTCAGGGACAGCCTCTTGTCTCTAGCTTAGCGAAAATATATATACTTTTTAATTTTACTGGACTACATTTTACTTTCTGTAAAATCTGCTAGTTTGAAGTGCACAACTCAAAAGATTTTCTAGTGAGTTCACTGCACTGTGTGACTGTCCCCGCCACACAGTGTTGGACCCCTCCCTCTACGCCATCAGATTCCTGGTGCTCATTCACACTGACTGCCTTCCCACCGCAGACCCTGGCAACCACAACAGGTTTGCTTCTTCTAGAAATTTCCCCTAAATGGAATCATATAATGTATTGCCTTTGGGGTCTGTGTTCTTTCCTAACATTTTTTTTCTTTTACACAGATATACACACTGAATAGGAATAGCCAACATTATGAAGACATCAAACCCCCTCACATTTATCCATAGACACAACCCTAATGAAAATCCCATCAGAACTGTTAGAACCCGGAAGTTTATTCTAAAGATCACATACATGTGAAAACTCCATGAGTGTAGCAAAGACATTTATGAAAAAAGGAGCAAGGAGTGGGGGCTCCCTGCTGGGCAGGAAGCACACCATAGAATTACAGCAACTACAACAGGCAGGAGGGGGCACAGAGCACACAGCATTCTCTAACCATTTTCACATTGTTTTCTCTTCCCACGTTATAAAAGCTACCCAAAATCCTTTGGGGAATGAGACCAGAGATAAACAGACAGGAGCTAACAGAACAGAACCTGAGCCTTAGCTCTGTCCTTAACTTGCTAAACAAGACCTTTCCTGAAGCCACCGCAGTGTTTCCCCACCTGCCAGGGTGGGTGACAGGTCTCTGTTCCTGCCAATGGTTTAGCTGAGAGCAGGCCAGCACAGTCGCACACTCTCTCCCCTGACCCTGTCCTGGGGCGCACTGGGCGACTGGAGTCCAAGAGCAGAGGACGTTCCCTGTTGCTCCCGTGACCTCTTGGCGGAAAGGACAAACCCTCAGACAAGATTGTGGCATGCACAGCAAGGACACACGCCCCAACAGCAAAACCAACATCTTAACTCTCATCCTGGCTTGCAAAGGCCAACCCAACACCTGCGCAAACTGTGCATGTGGAGGGAAAAAAATCCCAACACTGACCTGTGCGCAAGGCCTGGTATCTTCAGCACCGAGGTTCCAGGAACCCGACGTCTGATCCCTGGAAGAAAAACGTAAGACTGGCTTGAGCATCATGTGGCCAGAAATCCGGGTGTTCCTGCGGGCATCAGCATGGAAGAGTCACGAGCTCACGATTAAACAACAGTAAAAATGACGTTGGGAGTTCTGCCTCTTGGCTGCTCTGACGGACACTGGGGACGGCACAAACGGGGTGCTTCGAGGTGCAGGGGGCTGGTCTAAGAAGGCAATTAGAGACTTATGACATTATCTCTGACAAATTTCCACGTTTCAAAACTAAATTAAATGAGAGGATTGGATGTTTACATGACCTTTTAGGGTTTATAAAAGATGTTCACCTGCGTCATTTGAACTTCCTGACCCCCGGGAGGAAGAAGGGGAGGCTGCGTCAACCGCCTGCCCCAGGTCACCCAGGTTTGCCTAAAGGCGCTGTGAGAACTAAATGCACTGTGCGGCCCTGGATGAGGCACTGGGGCAGAAGAAGAGGAAGCCAGGGAATCTGAATAAAGAGTGGAGCTGACTGTCTCTTGATTGTCGCAAATGTACCATGACTATGGAAGACGTGACCGTTGGAAAACTGGGTGATGGGCAGACAGGAACTCACTGTACTATCTCTGAAACTTTTCTGAAAATCTAAAACTATTCTAAAGCAAAAAGTGTATTTAACAAAATAACAACGAAAAATTTTAAGTGCTGGTTCCTTTCCCTGAGTTCAGGCTAATTTGTAGTCGTCAGTCAGTAAAAGGCCAGGGTGAACTGAAATCCCCACTGTTACCTGCAGGTGGCGCCGCTGCCCCAGGAATGCCTTAAACCCTTTGAGATCCTGGAGCTGCTAGAATCTATCTAACCCTTCAGGATCTGGTCTTCCAGGCCACCACTTAGAAGAGGAACTTTTAGGACACCAAGGCAAAAGGGTCACTTGGGAACCGCCTGATGAAGCAGCAGTGACCAGAAGACCAGAAGGGATGAGAGAGGAAAGGGCTGGAGCAACATGCCCATTGACCTGGAGGCCAAGACTTGTCTCAACCTTGCAGGAATCATTTGTGCATATATAATCCTTCAACTTCTTATTTTTGAATCAATTAAAGACTCACAAGAAACTGCAAAACTAGCAAAAAGGGGCCCCAGGCACCCTTCACCCAATTCCCCAGATGGCAGCCCCTTACACAATTAAGGGACATTATCAAAACCAGGAAAGAGTGACTAATAAACTAGATGCCATTTTTTAGACAGCCTTATTGAGACATCATTTTCATGCCACACAACCCACCCATCTGAAGTGTATGACTCAGTGGTTTTTAGTATATTCACAAAGTTGTGCAACTGTCACCAAATTAAATTTTAAGACATTTTCATCACCCTTAAAGGATACCCTCTCCCCATCAGCAGCCACTCCCCAGCCCCTGGCAACTACTAACCCACTTCCTATCTCTGAGGATTTCCCTGTTCTGGACATTTCACATAAATGGAATCACACGTTGTGTGGCCTTTTGTGTCTGGCTCCTCTCACTGAGCATTGTGAATTCAAGGTCTATCCACACTGTAGCTGCCTCACTCCTTTTCATGGCAAAGTAATATTCCATTGTGTGGGTGGACACATTGTTTATCCATCATCTATTGATGGATATTTGGGCTGTTTCCACGTTTTTGCTGTTGTGAATTGTGCTTCCATGAACACAGATGTCTCATGAATCATTTAAAAAGGGTTTCTCACTCCCTGCCCTCACATCTACCAACTGCAAATCTCCCCACCTCCAGCCCTTTAACACCAGCTGCTGGCTGCTGTCGTTGAGCGCTTAGACTTGAGCAGTGAGGTAACCTCTATCCCTGCTGCCCTTGGCCCAGACCAGCTTGGGGCAGGGTAGGGAGCAGCCTGGACAAAACACATCCCTACAGCTCCATCCCTGGGGCCATGAGATGGCACACTGAGAGCTCTACCAGCTGGCACCAGGCTGTCCCCATGACCTTCACAGTCTTGCTCCCAAACAAAATGCTGGACCTCTGCTTCCCAGCAGAGTGAACTCCAAGCCCCTGAGCAGGAGCAGCAGTGAGGTGAGGAGGTGAGACCTCTCCACAGGACCTACTAAAGACTTGGCAGAGCCAGAGAAAAAATGAAACAGTGGGACTCCTGGTTCAAAAATAGGTGCAAATTTCAAGATGGCAACAGCAGAGTGCACAGCGACCCACAGATCCCGCAGACACCCTGCCCTCAGGAAGTGCCCAAGAGGCAGGATAGATAAACCTCACACAAATAACAAACACTCTGGGTAGAAAATCCCAGGTGCTGTGAGGGAGAAATAAATCACTGAAGGAAACAAGCCTCATTTACCAGGGTGGTGATCAGGGACGCCCTTAGAGAGGACTCACATTTACTCCTGTTGTGGACACCACTTACTGCAACCTGTGAGCCTCACCGTCCACATGGCTTTTCTTAAAATTGAGATATAATTCATATGCTATAAAATTCACCCTTTTAAAGTGTCTGACTGAGCGGCTTTTAGGATATTCACCGGGCGTGCAACCATCGCACTGTACGATCCCAGGGCACTGTTACTGCCCCCTGAAGAGACCCTGAGCCCATCAGCATCCTACGGTTCAGCGTCTCCCGGACAGATCCCAAACGGCAGGAATCTCGTGTGTTTTGCTTGCATGGCAGCTCCAATAGCTTCCACTGAGCCCGCCCACAGGAGGGGTTCAGTAATTCTTGTGACTGTGGCCATTCAGTCGGGTGCTAAGGGGACAACCTGTAGAGCGGGTGACGTTGGGCCCGTTTCTGCCCTGAAACGGGACTGACACTTGGGAGCCCCAGTGCATTCCTGTGGGTCAGGCCCAGGGCACGGTCAGCACAGGCTTGGCTTGGAGCCAGACCTGTGATGCGGGCTGGTCCTCAGCTGCAGACTTCAGCTGTGTCACCCACCACCTTGAAAAAGGAAGACAAAACCATGATCTCAAACCAAGAGCACTTGAGGGTCTTCCTTCATTAGTTCCCTGGTGGTTTGCTTTCTTTGTAATTTGAAAAGGGTTCAATAGATTTGTCAGACTGTCAGCTAATGGGTCCAGGCAGTGGGTGGCAGGCAGGGACACAGGTGACCGGACCTTGAGCTCCCAAACCTGGATTTTCAAAACTGCCAAAAACACAGCCATGACATCGGCGTGGGGGATGACGATGGATCCCTGATAAAGCAAGCCAGGCCCGGAGGAGCTGGGCCGCTCTGGCCCCTTTAGCACCCACAGCCAGTAAGCAGCGGAGGAACCCGCCCTGACTGACGCAGGATGTCGCATCTGGGCAGGAAGCCAGCACGTCGCAACCCACTTCTCTAGATCAGAGCTTCCAGAACTTTCCCAAGGGTTTGGACAACCAACACATCTTGTATGGAAATGTTGCCAACTGCAGATGTTCTCCAGCTGTGGCCCAGTATCCCCTGCAGGGAGGAAAGGGAACGCTGCACCACAGCTCCCAGAGCTGCTATCTCGTCCTGAAGGGTAAATCCCTTTCCAGACAGGACCCTGTTATGCATCTCATGGGCTGGGGCGAAGGGGCCCTCACGAAGGACTAGGGGGCACAGGGGCCTCTGGGCTGTGCAGGTGGGGTGGCACGTGGCTTAAACCTGTCAGCCCTGAAGAAACGGGCCCCTGGGCAAGTTTCAAGGCGCACCTGAGACCCAGGACTGGTTACACTCTCAGGGAGCAGCAGAGAAGGGACACACTGTCCTCTGTCATTCCTATCAGATGTAAATAATTTAAATGGCGTGCTCTTTTTGGTGAGTTTCCTTCTTGGGGCAGAGGGACAAGGAAGTCATAGATATCACAATGGTTGTGGCCTCCACGGGCCCCAGCACGTAACAGACCCGCAGCACACTGGGGCTATGAGAATTTCCTACAGGGGGGCTCAGAAACGCAGGTTTCTTTCCACACTAATTACATGGCAGGAGTCACTGGGGAAAGGTGATGGCGCCACGTGGCACTGGCGGGGCGGTGGGAGCAGACAGACGCGTGCTCGGTGCTGGCAGTGGTCCCTAATGTCCGGTGCTTGATGTCCCGTGGTTCCATTTTCTCAGCTGAGAAAAAGCAAAGAATGTCTACTTGGGACTTGAGGAAAAGATTGAAATCTGACCATGAATGCAAATTTTGCAGCACACAGAGACAGTGCTCCGTGAGAAGTGCTCCTGTAGCCCAAGGCAAAAGGGATATTTAGATAAACTTTGTTTGTGGCCTGCCTGGCCCTGTGACCTCGTGTGCTGGCGGTCACATCCTTCTCTAATCCCTTTCCCTGTGTCGGTGGGGCAGTGACTCTGGCAAAGGTGGCGGGGTGTCCCTTCTGATATTACATTGCAGAAGACTGGGACTTGCGCCTTGCTAACAGATCAACTGCTGCCTCAGCCTGCACACTGTGACAAGGCAGCCACGTCAGCAAAATCCACGTGGCCTCCATCCAGCAGCCAGAGGAGAACTAAGGCCCAAAGGAACTGAGTCCGAATCCAGCCGATAGTCGCGATGCTCAGAATTGGCAGCTTCCCCTGTTGAGCTTTCTGATGAGACACCAGCCCTGCTGACACCTTGACTGCAACCAGTGAGAGACCCTGAGCAGAGGACCCAGCTAAACCAACACCTGGATTTGTGACCCGCAGACACTGTGAGATATTAAATGTGTGTTGTTTTAAACCACTACATTTGGGGTGATTTGTTACGTGGCAGTAGCTAACTAATAACATAACAGGAGACTATTGATGTAAGTCATTCATACAGTAGAATAAAAATATCCCAATACTTACTGAACATAAAGGTGCCAGTCTCTGTGCTAAACATTTTCTACACTTATCTGCTCATTTTAGTTATAACAACTATTATCATTCACTTCTTATAAATGAAGAAACTGAGTCACAAAGAAAGGAAGTAGATTGCTCAAGGTCATGTGCAAGCACAGCCAGGACTAGAAGCCAGACCAGACAGGCCCCAGGCATAAATTCCTACTTATTTCCCACTAAATTCCTACTGGGACAGCAGGTAACAAATGTTAAAGGT